TCCCCTCCAAATCACTCTTAAATCCATGCTGCAACATAGCTTTAAGAGGCACAGAACAGCTGGAGGTGCTGCTTCCTGTCTAACCTAAACTCTGGATACCCATGGTAATTAAAAATCCCAGTAGAGTAAATTGGTGAGTTAACTTCAGTATCCTATCTTAATTCCATTCCATTCTACCTACCTACAAATCTCCATTTAATGTACATTTGGACACATTATTCTTTACTTCAATTCCCTGAGCTGTTATGGAATATTATCAGCTGCCATGGTCCATGAGGTGAATGGCCACTATAGAGGTTGGGGATTGATCTCTATATACATACACAATGAGATTTTCAAAAGATCAGTGTTGTCCCAGCTGTTTCAGTGGAAAGTGGTAGTAAACTGCCATTGACTTTAATGGACACTGAATTAGGAGAACACCCAGGCTACGTCTACACTGGCATGATTTTCCGAAAATGCTTTTAACGGAAAAGTTTTCCGTTAAAAGCATTTTCGGAAAAGCACGTCTAGATTGGCAGGATGCTTTTCCACAAAAGCACTTTTTGCGGAAAAGCGTCCATGACCAATCTAGACGCGGTTTTCCGCAAAAAAGCCCCGATCGCCATTTTCGCGACTGGGGCTTTTTTGCGGAAAACACTACTGTGCTGTTTACACTGGCCCTTTTGCGCAAAAGTCTTTCGGAAAAGACTTTTGCCCAAAAGGTAGCAGCATAGTATTTCCGAAAAATCACTGACGATCTTACATGAGATTGTCAGTGCTTTTCCGGAAATTCAAGCGGCCAGTGTAGACAGCTGGCAAGTTTTTGCGGAAAAACTTGCCAGTCTAGACACAGCCCCAGTGCATTTGAGATTTCTAAGCATGTCTCCTAAAACATGATATGATGATACATATTTATAACTAGAAGATTTACTGGGCATTGCTCAGGTCATTCAGGGCAGGAGGCTCGGGGAGTGGGGGGTGCAGAAGTCAGGGCAGGAGCTTGAGGATGTGGGGGGTTTAGGGCAGCAGGCTGAGAGTGGGGGGGGGTGCAGGAGTCAGGGTTGGAGAGTGAGGAGGGGCTCAGGTAATGGAGATGCAGCACTCAAAGTTTGAGGATTTGGGGTCTCAGGGCAGAGGGCTGGGGTGTAGCAGTTAGGTTTTGGGGGTGAGGACGGGCTCAGGGCCAGTGTGAGGGAATGTAGCAGTCACATTTTGGGGGTGAGGAGGGGCTCAGGACAGGGCAGTGTGAGGGGATGCAAGAGTCAGGGTTGGGGAATGAGATGGGGCTCAGGACAGGGGGCTGTGTGTGGTGGGATGCTAGAGTCAGAGTTTGGGAGTGAAAAGGGGCTGTTGGTGAAGGTGTGGGGGGTGCAGCAGCCAACAGGGGCTGCACAACCTAGGCAGATCCCTGGGGCTGGCTGCAGTCTGGTCCACACTGCCTGGGCAGTGACTCCCCGGCATTGGTTGTGGTGGCAGCTGCACTGGCCAGGGGGTGGCTCTTTGGGGCTTGCTGCAATGGGGGCTATGCTGGCTGGGGGGCAGCTCCCTGGGATTGGCTGTGGCAAGGGCTGTG